ACTGGCATTCATAAATAATGGAATGTCAAAGAATAACAAACAAAATGATCAATACGACCCAATTTCTTACAATTCTTCTTGTCTTCCATGTTTCTTCCAAAGAAATTTCATGCTACCATCTAATTTCATAATTTCTTAAATCAAGAAAAATCAAATAAAATCTAGCTAATAGTTGAAGAAAAAAAAATATTAAGACATACCTTCACTCCGTTAATTAAAACAAAAAACAATAAGACTTCTTTTTGTCAGCAAAAGAATAAGACATTAAAAACATTCGGTTGCGCTGAGTAATTTCTTTTACTATTTAAGTGTTTTTCAAATTAACTTTTTAAATGTAAAATTATATGATATTAATTATTAACAAAAAAGATTAACTTATATAACAAATCAGTTATCATGTATCGTTCTATAATGTATACTAGATTTTGACCCACGTTTGAAAATCGCAGAAATTTTTTATGATTAAAAATTTATATAATTGGGTTTTGTATTAATTCAAAGAATGTTTTGGGATAAAATCAGTTCACCAAAATATTTGGTGATGATTGTTATTCATTATTTTTTAGTTTCAGTTTTTATTTTTAGATTTTGTTTTAGATTTTGGTTTTTAGTTTTTAAGTTTCTATTTTTTATTTTCAGCTTTTGGTTTGGGTTTCTAATTTTTAGATCCGCTGAGTTAGTTTGAACTGATATTACTAACAAACAAATCACAAATAATTGAACATCTAATTTAAAACTGAAAAAATGAAAAAAAAAATTTAAAGAAATTTGCAATAGTTTATTTTGTAAATAAATAAAAGCAAAAAAAGATAACCTGTTTTTTCAGTTTTTGGTTTTGGATTTTAGTTTTTAGATTTGGTTTTTGGTTTTGCTTTATATTTTTTTAAATCATTAAATTATTTAAGAGAAATAAAACAAATAATTATTTTAAAGTTACCATTGAAATTTATGAAAACAAAGTGATTGTTATTTAAAATAAAAAAATATATTAACATGTTTAAAATACATGATTAATAATAGACAATTTTTTTGTTTAAAAATATTAAATACCTTTCGGGCTTGAAAATAATAACTGATTTTTTGATCCATTAAAATTGAAAGTTAATTCAATGTTTTTTGGAGTTTTTTCTTAATACTAAGCCCAAAAACCAAACCATATAATTTGATCTAAAAACAAAAGTAAGCCCAACACTATATCCCATAAATAACCATCGGTTTAATTTAAATAATACGGTTCAATTAACTATATGACTTGTATTATTTGTAACACTCTAGAAAGCGTCCAAATTTAAATGACAACTTGTATCAGTAGATAAAATGAATGACTTTATTTTAATAGAGTACTAGATTTTGACCCGCGCTTGAAAGCGCGGAAATTTTTTATGATTAAAAATTTATATAATTGGGTTTTGTTTTAATTTAAAGAATATTTTGGTATAAAATTAGTTTACCAAATTTTGTGGTGATAGTTGTTTTTCATTAGTTTTTAGTTTTAGTTTTTATTTTTAGATTTTGTTTTAAATTTTGGTTTTTGGTTTTTAGTTTTTAAGTTTCTATTTTTGATTTTCAGCTTTTGGTTTGGGTTTTTAATTTTTAGATCCGCTGTGTTAGTTTGAACTGATATTACCAACAAACAAATCTCAATTAATTGAACATGTAATTTAAAACTGAAAAGATGACAAAATAATTTTCTAAAAATTTTGAAATAGTTTATTTTGTAAATAAAAAAAGCAAAAAAAAAAAATAACTTACGTTTTAAGCTTTTGGTTTTGAGTTTTAGTTTTTAGATTTGGTTTTTGGTTTTTTTTTACATTTTTAAATCTGTAAATTATTTAAGAAAATAAAAAAATAAATTACTTAAAAGTTACCATTAAAATTTATCAAGATAGAGTGATTGTTATTTAAAATAAAAAATATTAACATGTTTTAAAGTACATGATTTAAATAAGTAATTAATAATAGATAACTTTGTTTTGTTATAAATATTAAATATTTTTGGGCTAAAAAATATTAACATATTTAAAAGTACATGATTTAAATAAGTGATTAATAATAGATAATTTTGTTTTCTTGAAAATATTAAATATTTTTGGGCCTGAAAATAGTAATTGATTTTTGATCCATTAAGGTGGAAAGTTTATTTAATGTTTTTGGAGTTTTTCTTTAATACTAAGCCCAAAAACCAAACAATTAAATGTCATAAAAACAAAAGTAAGCCCAAAACTGTATTCCATAAATAACCGCCGGTTTAATTTAAGTAATGCGGTTCAGTCAACTATATAACTTGTATTATATGTAACACTCTAGAAAATGTATAAATTTAAATGACAACTTGCATCAGTAGATAAAATAAATGACTCTATTTTAATAGAGTAGATTTATGTTTATATTTTGATCGGTTTTATTCAGTTTATTCGGTTTAACCATATCAAACCTTACGATTTTTATAAAATCATATCCATTCGGTATATATGGTATATACCAAATCTAAACCATTTTGTCTATGTCAGTTCGGTATTATCATATTGAACTGATCAACGAACCGAAGGTGTTTGGTCCAACATGGCTTATGTGATGATAGCTAGCTTTTGCCAATCTCTTGTCAAAAACACAAACAATAACTTCAGTTAAGTGAGGACGACAACAAGAACAAAACAACAGTCGAAGAATCAAATGAAAACAAGACATAGATAGCAAATGATTCAGAAAACAATTAAGCAAGAGGAAGAAACTACACTCTTGAAATTTGGTTCAGTTCGAGAGGGTTTTCAAACCACAGTTAAACACAACTTCTTAAAACTGCAGGCGAAACTAAGAGAGATGGTTTTGTTCTTCTTCAGACACTTCCCATACGGAGCTGGACATTGCAACTCGATAACTTGTTGTAGAGTTCAAACGTCTTCAAGAGACGTTTAAAAACTTTATGGTTTGCTAGCAGTGTAGGATTATTCTCTTTAGCATAGACTTCCATCTTCTTCAAAGATGGAAAATATACCAAAAAATGCTTTATCATTGCCATCTCTTTTGCTGTTCCTTGAAACTCGTGAATCTTGATCACTTTTACTGGACAAAGTGTGAGTGAAAGTCCTTTTTTGTCCTCCCGAGAAATGCAGTCACAAACATCCCCACATTTGTCTGTCACATGGTGCATGAGACCCTATAGGCACAAAGGAGACGCCATTAAAGAGATTCAAATATTATATAAGTGACTGTTACATGTTTGTGGCAAAAGAGTTGTTTTTTTTTTGGGTTACCTTAATGACAAGAGTTTCTAAAAGTGGACAGTTCCTCAGAAGAGCTGGCATTGCTTGCCATCCTCGATCCTTGTTACTCCTAACAGTTAATGATTTGAGGCTGTTGAACCCTGGCATCGATTCATAGCACAGAAAAAGCACCTGAGAGCAAGACATATCATTTTGGGATTACAAACCTAATCATATACAGAGAGTAAGACATTCCCCAGAGAGAGAGAAAACTGACCTCAAGAGCATCAGGAGACAAGTCAAGATTCGGGACATTTCGTATGCCATGAAAGAGTTTCCAAACATTGCTATATAGAAGAGAAACTGTGTCGCCCAACCAACCATCATCTGGTTCTCTAAGTTGCTCGAGGTGGAAATCACTTACGAGGAAGAAGATCTGGGCATCAAGTAAGTTTCCAAAATTAACTACTGGATAGTCCCTTGCAACATAACCAGAGTAGTTAAAGTGAACGAGACTTGGTGTATCAAATGATAAAGTGTCTAAATATTCGCCACAACACACGAGTCAGAAGCAGTTCCTCAAGGGAAGGTAGAGCACGAAGCAGAATCTCAAACTCATTAGGACAAAGACCAACCGAGTCAAGAATCAGAGTCTTAAGCAACGGTAAGAAAACACGACCAGCAACCAAGGAAATATCAATCGGACGGTGTAATTTCAGACTAACTAGTGTGCTACACTCAAAGCATTTTGGAGACAGCTGATATCGGCTTTGTCAATAATGATCGTTATATCAAGTTTCGAAACACAACGGGCTAACACATTGCTTATCCAACCACCCACAAGATCACGATCCGTATCAGCCAGAGTAACACACTTGAGGGAGAATTTCTTCAGTGGAGAGTTACCCTGCAACGTCAAAACTCTATCCACAAAGTCTATGAAGCTCTGTTTGATTTCTTCCCTGTTCTGTTTACCCTCTTCAGGATGAAGGAAGACAGTGTCATCAATAATAATACAAGGTACAAAAGCGAGAAGATTGTGCCACCTCTTGGCAAGAATCGAGGTTAAAGCAGCCTCCTTAGTAGTAAGAAAAGACAGTATATGACAAAGAACCTCGTCTGGAAGATTGCTAAAACAGTCCATCGTATGTTTTTAAGAAGACAAAAGCTCAAAGCTTTTTTCTGTTTAGCCTGAACAAATAGTACCACTGTAAAAAAAAAAAAGTATACAAAATAGATATCAAGTAAGAGCATGAAATCCAACAGACAACGGGATCTAAACAAAGGAGGAAAGTTTGAAGTAAGAAACCCTGACAAGATTGCTCAAAAAAAAAACCCTAACAAGAATGAGTAGTATGTAGCACAAACAAGAGATGAGTGAAAATGCTTACTGAGTCCAACACTTACATGATTTAGGGATTTGAAAGTGATTTTTGTAGCCCTCTTACAAGAGAGAGATAAAGAGAGCAAGCAATTCCAGGGTTTTTGGTAATGAATTACCGGGGAATGATGTCACCGATTTGTCTACCAATGAATGTCACCGGTTTAAATCTGTGGTTTAACTTAAAATGTCACTTGGTTTAAGTGGATGGTTTACTTTTTGTAGATGTACACGTACTCAATTGGGTTTGGTTTGAGACCGGTTTTGAACAATAAGAAAATTATCCATTTGATTCAGTTAACAAACCAACGGATAGGATCACAGCCACGTGTAACATATCTTATCGACAAATTGAACGATCATATAACTACTCACTCACGTGTCACCACGGATCCGATTATTATCCTCTCGATCCAACGGACTCAAAACACTCCCTCTGTTTCTCTCTCGGCGACTACCGATTCACCGTTCGATCTGAGATGGCGGATTCCGATAACGATTCAGGCGGTCACAAGGACGGAGGGATCGCGTCGTCGCGTGAGCAGGATAGGTTTCTGCCGATCGCGAACGTGAGCCGGATCATGAAGAAAGCGTTGCCTGGGAACGCGAAAATCTCCAAGGACGCCAAGGAGACTGTGCAGGAGTGCGTATCGGAATTCATTAGCTTCGTCACCGGCGAGGCTTCGGATAAGTGTCAGAGAGAGAAGAGGAAGACGATCAACGGCGACGATCTTCTCTGGGCGATGACGACGCTAGGGTTCGAGGATTACGTTGAGCCGTTGAAGGTTTACCTGCAAAAGTATAGGGAATTGGAAGGGGAGAGGATGACGACGGGGAGACCGGGTGATAAGGAAGGTGGCGGCGGCGGAGGAAATGGAAGCTCTGGCGGTGGAGGTGGAGGATATAATGGCGGAGGAGGGATGTACGGTGGGATGGTGATGGGGCATCATCATCAAGGACACGTGTACGGTGGAAGTGGGATAAATTAGAGAATCAGCAACTTCTCGCTGTCTCTGTTCTCTCCTTGCACAGCTCTGACTCGGTTAACAACTCGAAATGGCTCTCACAGGAGAGTACTAATTCTCATATCTCTGTTCTCATGCAAGCTTGTATTGTTAATTCTTCTATGTTTTTGATCAGAGCCATTCACGGTGCAACAAGTGTATGTTCTTAGATGATTCTAAATCATTTTGTATATAATATAATTAATGTGTTACATAATGTAACTTACATTTGGTCTATTCCAACTTTGCAGCAGCTACAAGTGCAAAAGCTGATTGAATGTGTATATTTAATAAACTCTCTGTTTCTGTCATTTCTCATCTCTAAAATTTTACTCTTTGCACGTTTCATCGCTGCTGCTGCAAAGGAGTAGTAGTTATATCTTTTAGTCTATCGAAAGAAGATTAAATCTCCATGTTTCAATCTATGCTCTTTCTTGTATAGCTGATGTATGTCTTCAAAAGCCTGCACGTTAGCCTTGAAGATCAAATTCTCATGAATGATATAACCAAAGAAACTTTGCAAAAGAGCTGCTTTTGAGTTTTGAACTGTCTTCTTTTTGTTTGTGTTTCTTGCAGATGGTGTTATACGCCAACGCCAGTTACGAGTCCGTGTACTGATAAACTATTATAATTTTGGTGAGATTATTTCAAACTGTACACTTTGCTAGGTTACCAGCTTAGATTATATTGGTCGCATCTCCTTGCTAGCCAAATAGAAAAAGAGTCACTCAAAGATTAGTGTCATCTCACTCTCAGAGAATCCAGCTAGTGCAAACCGGTGCCAACTGCCAACTTCCTAAGAGAATCTGTAATAGAGAAGCAGAGAGCCGTGGACGCTGAGTTTGCGTTCGCTAAGACTTTGGCTGAACGAGGAGATGCGTTGTGTATTAGAATCTTGGCCATCTAGAAAATTTTGGTTATGCTTGAAAATGAAAGTTGGTTTCAAGTTCAAGTAAACTGGAGACGATATGGCACGACACGACTTCTTAAGAATGCTTCTAAGCCTTGCAAGGAGTATCATGTGGTTAGCTGCAGTAGATTAGGGATGCCACTAACGATTGTAGAGCCCACAATTGGAAATGAATAAGAGTTTAGGGGCCAAATCAGAAATATAGTTTCTTTTTCTTCTTGTAATTAAAAATTCATTAAAATTAATCACATGATTATATGGAGATTAGTTCACTATTTTCTGATTATTCAAGTGAATCGACAGCTAAAAATGGACGTTGGAACTACTTCAATATTGTTTGTTTGTGTCGGCTACATCTTATATATTAAAAGAGAAGTCATGACTTCACTTCATGTGTGATATTTTAAAATGGACCATCTAGTAATATTTATGACATTACATTATTCAATCATTAATAACATTCATTAGATTCACTAATAACATTTATTGGGTTTACTAGAAATTTTTATTGAGTTAACAAAAATTAGTTGATCCATTAGATTTATAGATATTATATTAAAATACATGTTTAAATTAAACTTATATAATTTAATATTGTAATAGTATAAGTTAATTATTTATATATTTTCGATGTTAACTTTAAAAATTATATAATTTATTTTTAAAAAATAACAAAATCATCATCTTCTAACAATAGTTAATCTATACTATATAGTAATTAATCATCATTTTCGATATACACACCTTATATAATATATACTAATTTAGAAATAAAAAAATGTTTATATCTATATATAATAGCAAACTGAAAATGACATCAGTATTTTTTATAGGAAAAAAAAAGTTCAATCCAAGGGTCATAGTTAACTTGATTTTAAGATCTAATGGACCCAAAAAAACCCTTTCATATGATTGATGATGTCATCAAATATTTGACAACTCTTCATTGAAAAGGCATATATTTCATTTTAGTAGCCACAATCATATTTGCCATACCTTTTCACAAATTTAAATATTAATATTGACTTTTTAGAAGATAATATTTGTATATGTCGTGACCCAAGAGGTATGAACGTATCGTGATCCAAGAGATACGAACGTGTCGTGACCAAAGAGGTACGAATGTGTCGTGATCCAAGAGGTGCGAACGTATCGGAACCAAAATGGTGCGAGCGTGTCAGGACCGAAAGGGTGCGAACATATCGGGACCGAAAGGGTGCGAACATATCGGGACCGAAAGGGTGCAAACGTGTAGTTACCGAAAGGGTGTGAACGTGTCGGGACTGAAAGGGTGCGAACGTGTCAGAACCGAAAGGGTGCGAACGTATCGGGACCAAAAGGGTGCGAACATGTCGGTACCGAAAGGGCGCGAATGTGTCGGCACCGAAAGGGTGCGAACATGTCGGGGCCGAAATGGGGCGAACAGTTCGGGACCGAAAGTGTGCGAACGGTTCGGGGCCGAAAGGGTGCGAACGGTTCGGGACCGAAAGGGTGCGAACATGTCGGTACCGAAAGGGTGCGAACGGTTCGGAACCGAAAGGGTGCGAACGGTTCGGGACCGAAAGGGTGCGAACGGTTCGGGACCGAAAGTGTGCGAACGGTTTGGGGCCGAAAGGGTGCGAACGGTTCGGGACCGAAAGGGTGCGAACGGTTCGGGACCGAAAGGGTGCGAACGGTTCGGGACCGAAAGGGTGCGAACGGTTCGGGACCGAAAGGGTGCGAACGGTTCGGGACCGAAAGGGTGCGAACGGTTCGGCACCGAAAGAGTGCGAATGGTTCGGCACTGAAAGGGTGCGAATGGTTCGGCACCGAAAGGGTGCTTAAGGTTGTATATGAGTGGTAAACATATTGATCCATGATATGGATCGATGGCTCAAAAAGAAGTGT